AAAATATGTATTTACATATAAATCCGAGCCCTAATTATCACCGAATTGTTGGTGCTCGCGGAAACTACAGACTTTGCGGCGCCTTATATGTATATATATATATATATATATTATATTATTTTAATTTTATAATATTTAATGTACCAATCGAATGCGTGTAGGGCACAGGACGATACCATAATGATATCATTCAATCATTGCAATGTTTATTATAGATGCGAACAACTTGGTCGTAGATATACCAGTATATTATATTGTATCATGATATATCACAAACAACATTTCATAAAACCACTTGTGGACAACAATGTCGTTTTACGTATAATATTATGGGTACAGACTTCGTCGTATATAATATACAGTTAGAATAACATCGAACATTTTAACCATGGCATTTAGAACTGCAGCGCTGCATATATCATCGCGTGTAACCCCGCAAGTAAAGGTATAAATGTATAATATATCTGTATGTTTCGAACGCATAATGTGCCCGCGCGAATATAGCCGGAGAAAGGGAGCAAGTCGAGATTTAGTTGGAAGAATAAAGTGAAAAAAAGGACAATATGAATTGCAAACGCATACGTGTTATCTGGTTAATAATATTGCAGTATAGTCGATTCGCGCATGGACGAACAATGTGCTGTGACTTATTGTCTCAAAAATATAATAGTAATAATAATAATAACAACGCATACCGATCATTAAGTTTGACGAAACCGCGGCTATTCTTTTGGTCATCGMAGGTTATTGTAAGACGTATTCACGTATTCCGAATGCGGTTTGACGTTCCGTTGCGCCCATCATAGGGTTCGCCGCAATGACCGTGAAGTGTATAACCTACTTTTTTCTTCCTTGAGAAAYTCAAAAGTTATAGGAAAAAAACTGAAATTCAAACCACATTGAAATACATGTACGTGAATTTTAAATCTTATTATAAAAATAGTAATATTATATGCAGCAATTATGTAAAATATAGAGGTACGCGGTGTTTATACGACTTAAACTGCCGTTTTGATTAAAACCACGAATTTTAGCTATTTAACAATACCTTGACGTAAATATGTTTCCGTGAATTTTTTTGTTTTTTTAATTTTTATATAAATTGTTCATGGTGGTAGCGATGTGTTTGGCTACACAATATTAAAAACTTTTAAATGGTGGTCAAACTCAACACAATATATATGTATATATATTATAATAGGTAAGCCGGAAAACAGCACACCCGCGATTCGTTTCATATCGACACCAAATTTTACGACATTGTTTTCGAAAATTATTCTGCACATAATATTTATACACGTACTGACGTACCTATATATTATGTATAAGGGCGGGCCGTATAGAATTTTTGTTTTAATATTTATTACGTGGCTCGTACGGAACGTGACCGAAAAGGTTTTCGTTGTAATCCGAGAAACCGTGACAAAACCTCCTGAAGGGTCAAAGTGTGTTTTATAGTGGACCAGATTGTTCGTAAACAGAGGGGTGGTATGCGCCACGGCCGGCGGCGGAGGGTGGACGCTGACGATTAGCCGACAGTTGGCCGAAATTGAAATTTCTCGAATTACACGGGTCGTTGGTACGTCGTAAAAAATAATAATAATAATCCCTTTGCGCTTTTTTTTCTCGCCTGATTCGGGACGGCTAAACGTATCAATCATATAAACGCCGCGAGATGACTGCAGGAATAATAACAAAGCACGTCATTATAATTTTAGCGCAATATTCAAGATTCGTWCGAGTATCTCAATATATACATATATAGGTTATACATAGGTACTCGCGCGAGAAAGATTGTGTACACGTCCTAAGTATATTAATGTATGCRTATACCTATAATATTGAGAATGCGACGTAATGCAGGAGATTTTAATACAGCTGCAGTATATATAGCTAAACCAAACGCGTTTCTCCTTTATATTTATAGAAATTATTACGCGTATTATTGGCGCGGACTTGTATAATATACATTATGTCTTACATACTCGCGGATGATCCAAATAAAACAAATTGAACGCCATGTTCATTAATATAATATTGTGTTTGTTGAACGTGTGCATCCCCTGCAGRTCGTGTACACACGAAATTAATGTTAATTCGAAGATAATTGAAAAACAAAAAAATTKAATACGTGATGGTTGTCGTGCATACTATTATTATTATTGAATTGAATTGAATAACAGAAGACGATATTWAAAAAAAAGCGGGGAGATCGAGGTCGATATGTACTTAACTCGGAATTTGAATTCAATTAACCACAACCAATTGACTCGGTCACACAGCCCATATGTATCAACCCTTTCGCGCATGGTATGTATATAATATTATATGGGTTCGTAATCGGTGGATCGACCTCTGACACACAATCGCACATACACTGTGATGGCGTTGCTGCACCTCGCGCACCATATTATTATAAGTACTTTCGGCAGAATGCGGGCTGAATTGAATAATAATAATAAT